AGACTGTGGCTCATACGTGTCATGTGTAAGTGCTAGTGAGGAGAGGTTATCAGGTGCTAACGAAGGGTTTCGATAATCTGCGCCGAGTTATGGATGTGCGTACCAAGGAGAATAACTTTAGTTAAGCAAATACTGACACTATCGTTAGCTAGGAATGCAGGCTGGTAATTGCAGAAGCTTACTTTTATTTTTTGTTCCTCATTCAAAAAATGCTGGGTGTTACTGTTCTGTAACACCCTTGAGTGGGCGTTCAGGGTAGCGGTGATGGGCAGTTGATATCGATCTTTTTGGGGATAAGATGGAATTGAGACCGAGTAGGAAGTGTTGTAGATGGTTCGCTAGGACAGTTCCAGCACTGTCGAGTGCTATTCCTCCCATATATAACCACCAGTACTTGGATGTGTCTTTATTTGACACCAGAGGAATGACTCTTAATAATGATAATTAATTTTTTTTAATTGCACCAATTCGAATTGTAATGGTCAACGGCATTTGCCACGTCCCGATCTACTGAAATAAGTCAACCAAGATGTAAATTCATGTTATGTAGTTTCTGTCCCAATATTAACAGGGCAAAATGCGTTGACGCCAAATTCTCTTTAAAAGTAAGGTGATTTGGTTTTGCTGAAAAAATGTATTTCCTTTTTTTTGAAATAAAACTGATCAGGATCAAAATGCATTTATGACATTTAACCTGTTAGATTCAATGAAAGCGTATAAAACTTGCCTTTCAATTGTTTCTATGCTATGAACTCAATGCTGCGGGACTTCAATTAGCACTTTGTGTAGTGTAGAGGAATCCTGCAGTGTTGTAAAATATCGATTAATTTAATTGTTTAAAATTGCAAGTGCGGTTGATAAAGTGAGGGATTAAATGTGATTTAGTCAGACAGCTGCGTGTGTAGCTTTTGGATTTCAAAGTGATAAAATTAAAGAAATCGATATCCTAGCAGTTGGCCCTGGTGATCACTAACTGAAACTGGATACCCACTTATCGGATTCTTAGCAGGGAGCCACTTAACTAATAGCTGACACTACAAGAACATTGTCGTTATTCATCTTTAAAAACTAACCATACTTCTACAATGTTAATAAATTAACTGATTTAATCCCATGAAGCTAATTTGCGAATTTACCTCCTTTGAGTTGACCAGGATCAATCAACGTTAGTAAACTTGGTCGAGAACAGAATGTGTTAGCGTGCACAAACCACAAAAAACCACTGCGACTGCGGGAATGCCGTACGAAATGCGGATCGTTTGGAAAATTTTTGTTGCTTTGTCTGACTTTAGGTAAATCGAAAGGCACCAGCCTTCCGTTTGTTTTAGTCACCTGCCTCACGTCGTCTGGTCAACCCACTGGCTTGTTCACTTTACAAACCTGCGTGTCGGCGACGTTGGTGGGTACGCGAAGGGCCAACCTCCAGGTAAGTTCCAACTTGGTTAACTATGTCTGGTGTTGTTCTTGTCGACAACAGTGCAAAATACACTCACACAGTGGATTCTGGTTGGTCAGAAATGAACCTTATGTACATCCCAGGTGTGATTTATGATTTACATTAGGAATTGAGGTGGACAGGCCTCTGGTAGCTGTCCGGTTAATTGGCAGAAGCCGAGTCCGCTTCAACACTGCGCTGATGTAGCAAGTGGCAAAGTCAGCTTAAGCATCACTAAAAAATCAACAATCGGAGAGTATTTGCGAGGCATGCCCAAAATACGCCACGCGTTAGTTTCGACGTTAGTGTAGCTTTCAACTGAAAGAGGTGGTAAAATTTAGAGGAGATTATTTGGAACATACCACTGATGTGAGTCAAGGTGACAGGTGCACAAGCGCGCATTGTCGAGTAGTCTGAATCTACACAGTCATGGAATTGACCCAATTCCTAATTGAGACTGTAGCAGCGTTGGTAATTTCGTTGTTTGGCGTCTTTGAAGATAACAATGCAGCTAGGAAATAACTTGATATCAAAGGAAACAATAGAAAACAACTTATTTCTTCTCATCTTCAATGGCTGAAATGGCCAAGCGTTTACAATTATTTCAGCTCTTGAAATGTGTTCTTACCACATTCCATTGGGTCGTGAATAACGCAGATACACATTAAGACATGGTAGTGATTAGGTTTTATTGGAGAACACCATTCACTTCTTGCAGGAAGCCGAACACAACTACTTTAATGTGTATTCAGAGCGTTGTTGTGCTAGATCAAGGACACTCACAGTTGTCGGATCAAGAGTTCTTGTGCTAAGTAGAAGTGGTCATGGCACTTGTGATCCACGACGCCTTACCGACTATTGGCACGCAATTACATTTAAAATATTCCAAATGAATTGCACAGTCATTTTCTGACATTTTGATTGCAGAGCAAAGGACACTGCCGGAACCGTCCATGACAATCTAACAAGCAAAAAGGCATATGTTGTTCGACCAGGTCATTTGGATCACTACTCAGGTAAAGTTCTCTTTATTTGGTCATGCTAACGTTGTTTAATTTTTCCCCATATTGCCACTGTATTGATTATAGCAGGTTGGACACGCACGTTAGCCCGATTTCAACAACACAGCCGTATTTTGCGGTATGTAGTGATGAAATCAGAAAATAGGACAATAAGTGTGATTTTTTCTTATGAATTTGGCGTTTCGGTTAGTTGATTCTTACTAATTATAACTACTAATCTACCATTGTTGACATTGCTGTTAATCACCACTGCCACCGCAAACAGGAACATCAAAGCCAGTCAAATAAAAGGAGCCAGTGATAAGAGGCTTCCCAAACACCCCTATTCACACCTGGCTTTTGTGGAGCCCACTGCGCGCCCCCTGTCGTCTAACTTAGCCTGTGGTTACCAACGCACGGTCATAAAGCTATTTGCAGGTGCTTTTTGTCTGTTTGCTCAAGCTGGTAGTCTAGACGACAGTTCTCAGAGCACAGACCGGTTTGCTAGCAATTCGACAAAGGTTTTTTTTTTAATAAAATCGACTTCAAATTATGTAGTTTGAAAGGCAAAACCACAGTTTTAAGGGGCCGATTAGTTATACCAAGAGGACGGGTGGAGCAGCTTGCGATGACAGTACATGTCTAGTTAGATTTAATTTCATTACTAATAAAAAAAATCGTCATCGCAACAGCTCAGACATAGCAGAGTGTTTCTAGACAGAGTCGGTGCGTCACGATCGATTGTGGCTGTGTGAACGAGTGCACTCAGGTGCATTACACACCATGGTAATGTCAAACTAGAATGATGAAGCATGATATATTAAATGAGATACAGCCAAGGGTATTTGCACAGCAGGAATCTCCACGAAACACACCCACTCGACTGCGACAAGACGTTCTGTTTATTTAGTTGTTTTGGACTTGCGGGGTGGTCCAGGCATCGTTGTTCCATCCCTGGGGCACCTACGTCTCCTGCGCAAAATCGTCTTACAACCCTTCACCCAGCGAAGTGCCTTCCCTCCTCAGCCAAGTCTTCCTCCATTGCAAACGCCGACGAATTTCGGAATCAGGTTCTACACTGATGATTTAAAGTATGCATTAGATCAGTTTGCTATAATTTGGGCCTCAAATAACACGATGCTAAGTCCGTCTTTGCACAACGCTGATCATCGTAACTGTGCTTGGCGAAATGACGACCAGATGCACGATCGTTATCGTTTGTCGTGCAGAGTGGACATTCGGAGCAACTTGCGAATCCAGTAAATGTCTTCCTACAGCATACATGTTTTGTAGCCAGATAAATAGAATTCCATTAATCAAGAAAAAATCGTCATCGTAGCAGTTCAGACATAGCAGAGTGTCTAGACAAATCGATTTTGACTGTGTGGACGAGTGATGTCTGCACCGCGTAGGAGTTTTTAATAGGTG